TCTCTCCCCAGACCTATTCATGTATTATTCTTGTTTTGAGTCAGAGTTTTCCTAAGTTACCCAAACTGCCCTGGAACTCAGGCTGTCACTTAGGCTGTTATGGAATTTATGATCTCCCTGCCTCAGCCTGTTGGGTAGCTCTGATGACAGTTCTATGTCACCAGGATTCACTATTTCTGGATGTTTCGGAACAGGGTCTCACTATGTCATGTAGGTTGAGTTAGAATTCATGAGCCTCTACTTCAGCCTTCCAGGGCTGGGAGTACAGGTGTGTGACGCTACTCCTGGCTGGTGAAGCTCCTCTCCTCTTTCTCTGCATCATCTCCAGCATAAACTGTCATTGGTAGTTTTGATTTTAGCCATTCTGACAGGAGTAAGATGGTATCTCAGAGTTGTTTTGATTTGCATTTCCCTGATGGCTAAGGATGTTGGACACTTTCTTATGGGTCTTTCAGCCATTTTAGATTCCTCTATTGAGAATTGTCTATTTAGTTCTGTACTCCATTTTTTAATTGGCTTGTTTGGTGTTTTGGAGACTAGCTCTTGAGTTCTTAGTATATTTTGGAGATCAGCCCTCTGTCAGATGTGGGGTTGGTGAATATCTTTGCCCAGTCTGTGGGCTGCTGTTTTGTCTTGCTGACTATGTCCTTTGCCTTACAGAAGCTTCTCAGTTTCAGGAGGTCCCATTTATTAATTGTTGATCTCAATGTCTGTGCTACTGATGTTGTGTTCAGGAAGCATTCTCCTCTACCGATTAATTCAAGGGTATTTCCCACTTTATTTTCTATTAGGTTCAGTGTGGCTGGGTTTATGTTGAGGTCTTTGATCCATTTTGACTTAAGTTTTGTGCAGAGTGAAAGGCTTGGGTCTATTTGTAGTCTTCTACATGTTTGCATCCAGGTATGCCAGCAAGACTGGTATTTCTTACTAAATATTTTAGCAAGTTCAAAAACTAGAAGCAATTGAGGATTCAAAAGTAAATACCAAATATAAAGAAAAAAACCTATTGTTTATATTCTGTGCTCCAAGAACAATGACCAAAAATTGCTAGTCCATGTGAGAAATTCACAAGCAAATCAAGACTATAATAGAAATTAAAATGAAACATAAAAATAAGGATAAACAAATAATGGTACATTGCATAATGTAGGGGTAAACTCATAAATTTTGCCAAAATTAAAAGGACCACACAAAAAGTTGGAGAGATGGCTTAGAAGTTACAATCGTTTGTTACTTTTGCAGAGGACCCAGATTCAGTCCCCAGCACCCAATATGGTGACTAACCATCTGTAACTTTAGTTCCAGGGATCCAATGGCACTGAAGATCCAGTGGGAAGATTGGGCCTCCAATGGCACTACATGAATGTGGCGTACAGACACACATGCAGGCAAAGCAGCAATATGCATAAAACAAAAATAAATAATAAATGGACCAAGTAAAATCTCATCTCCAAAACTTCTCAGGAAAATACAATCTACATCTAATGTATTTACTTAAAACAGTGTGATAATGATATCTGCTTTGTAAATTGTTCAAGTTAGGGAAATAATTAAGTGACTCTAAAGACACAATACCTTGTGTGTATAAACCAGGCTATGAAGCCAAGAGTTAATCACAAAATATCATCATTCTCAATGTTAGGCATAAGAACTGAATCAAGGCTATAACTTCCAGTCATTCAAAACAATTCTGGGTGAAAGCATAATACTTGGAAGGAAGGTCTGTAATTAAGGAATTATAGTGAAGGACATATCCTCATGAGGAAAATGGAGTTATGGTTTGAGACTCATTAATTATTGGATAATGGAAAGGAGTGTGCCTACTGTGGACTGGATCAAGCTTCAGGCTCAAGGTCACGGCTAAAGGCCAAGATCTAAGCTGAAAGAAGCAGAGGATGAAGGAGGAAATTGAGGCTGGGGAAAATCGCAGCGTGGTTTGCTGAGTGTGTCAGGCCAGAGCGTGCTGACAGGGCCTTAATTTTTATTGGCTGTTTTAAAATGTAAGATGTCATCAGTATAAAAATTTAAACAATATAGAAGGACAATAAAAAGTTCAATTGACCTCTACAATCTTACTTACAAAAATAAACCAATAAATAATAATTTGTCTGTAATTTCACGTATTTCCTAACACCGGTGTCTGATATGGGTGTATGTATAATATTTATATATATATATATATTTATATATTATAAAAAT